TTTGCTCGTAGACAGTTGCCGCAGCAAGCCAAGTCTCTGAGACAGGTGTTGTCTCTCGTGCTCCCACCCGAGACCATGGTTCGTGCTCTCCTGCCGCCTGTGATGCAGCAACGTGATATCGACCGACTCCGTTGAAATCAGGCACTATGCGTGGACTCTGTGTAGTAACGACCGTCGAGATAGGAGGTGGCGAGAAAGAGATGCCACGCGATGGATGCCATAGTCGATGATTTCGCGGTGGCGTTGCGATCATTCTGGGCGTCCGGCGTGCTATGCAATGACTATTTTCATGGGATACTTCGGTCAGCATTTATCTGCAAGTACCATGCGGCACAGAAGTTGGACTCGAGACTGTTCATGGGTCCCAATTGGCAATTGCAAGTCTTAACTATCGAGAAATACGAACGTTGACGGCAATGAAGTCGTGCACAATGCACGATATGGCAATTTCAGAGCATTGCCGGCAGACTCTGAAGATCCACGGCAGGACATTGGCAAACAAATATCAAGGAGTCTTCACAGCCCAGCTCCATGGCGACATTCCAAGGACCCGTGAATGTGCTGCTCCTGAGTCCCGGTCTTTGGGTTACGCGGGGGGATGCTGGCGAACAGACAGGCAGACGCGATGCAGCCTAGAGTCAAGGCAATCTGGACAATCCAGTGGGTAACAGGCGATGTAGGGATTGATTGTACTGTAGAATGCACGGTAACAGACTGATTGGCTGTAAAGTGCTCATTCCAGATCAGATCGGATCGTTTGATATTACCACACCTTAGGATTTACCGAGTTACCCCCTATCAGTGACAGGGGGACAAAATACAGGTTTGCTGGAATCTGCTAAACACAATGATCTTGATAAACGGGTGCAATGTCAGGTAGTTCAAGTCATGGATCTAGGGATAAAAAGACATATCTCATGAACTGAGCTATTGTTCTTGTCGAGGGCACACGCTGTCTTTGTTGATGGTACCTACCTTATATTTTGCGGAGGACCAGACAAGAGCCTGTCAGTTGGCCGCCACCTGTCGCTGTCGGCTGGCAGAGTGTTTCTCAGGCATCTGTACCTACTGTGGTCGCCCACTAAAGCTGTCCTACTAGCACCCGCCTATTGCCCAAACAGTACTGGGTAAGTCTCGCCGTCGACACATATCAAACTGAAAACCAGCGACGAAACACCACCTTACGTCCAACACTCTGCGGCAACCTTGTTACGTTGCATTTCATTTGATTGAGTCTTATATCACACATCAATCGGTTCTCCTCGGAGAGTCGAAAAGGCTGCCACGATGGCCACTCCGGCAGCTCAGCTCCTGCCTCTGGGTACGTTGTTCCTGCTATTCTATGACATGTATGGTCTCTGAGTAAAGCAGCTGATGCATCAGGCAGAGCTCATCGACAAATGTGTTGGCTCCCGGATATGGGTCGTCATGAAGGGAGATAAGGGTATGCTTTACATCATTTCCATCGGAGAGACATCCCAACATGCTGATACTGTACCTGCAGAGTTCAGTGGAACACTGACAGGCTTTGACGACTACGTCAGTAAGTGATGCTCATGCCCTAACATCGTTCACTCTCAGATCACTAACTGCGTGCCCAGACATGGTCCTTGAGGACGTGACCGAATTGTGAGAATGCCTGGCTCCTGTCTCCTGGCGGCAGCTGAGAACTGACCTCACTTAGCGACTACTCCGGGAATCACACCAAACTCCCCAAGATTCTGCTGAATGGCAACAATATTTGCATGGTATGGAGTTACAGACTCTCACACAGATGCGAACGGAAGAGACCCTCATTCACTAACACAATATGGCATAGTTGATCCCCGGAGGCGAGGGCCCTACTGCGGCATGAAGTACGAAGTGTGACGACGTGCATTGAGGGGTGATTCACAGGGCCCAAGGCATTATACCTTGATAGAGAGTACGTCCGCATGGGGCACTGGTATTTGTATCAGATTTCTCCTAGGGTAGGGAAACTGATATTCATTGACGATCACAAGGACAAGGGACAGCAGGTTCTGGGGTGAAAACGGTGATCTCAATTCATTATGTCACCTATTCATCTGTAATATGGCCGAAACGGTAGAAGAAACTCCTGAATCGACTGATGATGATGACCTACTTCAGTTAATGCGCAAATACCCCCAACGCCATTTTCCATACCCTGACCGTGTCGCTCCGTAGACTCGTAGAAACACACATGATGTCGAAGTGCTTGGCCTCAAGCTCGACCACCGTGCTCCTTGTCGTCATCTGCCATGCGACGGAGTTCGTACTCTCGGGTGAACTCGCGACCAAGCTGACCGTAGCTGGCGATGAGCTGCTTGCAGACGTCGATGAAGACCTCGCGGGGGGTCTTGGTGCCATCCGTCTGAACACGGATCAGGAGCTCGGGAACATTAGGATGAGGAACTGTAGTCACGTCAATAAAAGAGTCCAGCCAGACTGTACATTTATTTTGAGATTTGTACCCTTGTAGCCGGCCATGAGGACATTGGGGTTGTGCTTCAGGTGCTCGCTGAGGAGATTGCCAATGGTGTGGTCCTCCTTCAAGAGGACGAACTCGGAGGTGTTGGAGGTACCTTGTACATAAGCAATTAGCAAGACATGTTTGTGAGCCTGTCATGACACCTATTATGTGCAGATCAGAAGTATTTACCGGCAAAGGGCTTCTCAGTGATCTTCTTCTCGCCCTCAGCCTCATTCACAAGGAAGAGTTCGAATCTGTACATGGTTAGCTGTCAGTCTTGAGATGTGAGTTGAGATGTTCGAACGCATTATCCTGCTCGTTCAGGTGGCGAGGGTTGCCCATGATTGCTGTTGGACAGGATGGTTGGAGTGTGAAGACAATTTGAAGTGAAGACAGGATGTTGTGAGGGCAGTATGTAGTGAAGCCAGCCAAGGCCAACAAGCCAACAGTATTCACTGATGAGCGTTGTTGTTGACAGATGGAGGTTCTTCATAGACAGCTTGAAAAGTATGTTGTCCCAGAGGTAGTAGGTTGTTCCAGAGATAGGTTGCCCAGAGGTCTCAGGAAGGTGTGGACGGGGTAAGGGCAACCTCTCAGGTTGCCCCTTCCAAAGCAGTCACCTCACATTGTCGACGCCTCAAATTCGCGGGTCCGTGATGGACACATGAACATAGCTTTTGTCAAAGCTCTCTCATTTCCTTTCGAGTTCTATGTCGCGGTGTGCTTGCGGATATGCAGGTGCTGTTTTGTGATAGACATGTATACTCTTGGATATACCGCAGCAAATAACAGGCAAGCTTGAGCGACGACATGGTGTAGAGACCGAAATGACATGGAAATCAGAAACCAACCTGTCGGGGGCGTTCATATTGACGCAAGACCTGTACTATTTGACGGCGTACAAAGAGGAGGATGACTTTCTGCCCAGGCAGCGCAGCCGTCGCCGTTGATTGAAGCAAGGACGTCTGCAGTCGGCAAATTGGATAATATGCAAATGTGACGATAAAAAGCAACGGGAGAGCAAACAGCGCCAATATATGGGTACGGCGACAATAGAAAAGATGATGTTGCTTGATCCAAGTAGGTACTCTCCAAATTTGGTGCTTGATGTTTTGAGAACCATTAGAACAATGAATACTGTTAACAGTACCTCTCCCAAGTACTGCTTCCAGCTCCACTGAAGTTCAATGCTGTAATCTGAGCCAATTGGGGGATTCTCGGGGAAACCATTGGCTGAGGTAAGCTTTATACCGTATTATTCGCACTGCTACACTGCTCACACGGATTCCGTTACCCTGACCAGTGACTCCAAATCTGCGTTTTTTATTAAGTCGCCTTCAACCCTGCCAGGTTTCTGGGCAGAGGGAATAGGAGACAATGTCTATGCACAGAGTCGTCCTGTCATAATCTGAATATGGTCTGACGTGATTTGCGGAAGACTAGCGGACTATCTGTAGGGATTACCTCTTAAACTACAGATCGAATCGATCTACGCTGGCCCTGCTGGTTGAACTGAAGTAGACATTCCAGATGGGTGTAAAGCTCAACCGATGTATCACTTACTTCATCCCCAGCCCAACTACGTCTCTCAATCTAATCATCTATTCATGGTCATCATCATTGCCGCTCTCGATCTCGGCCTTCTCGCTTTCTGAATGTGAATCCAGGTTCACATGTAAGTTTCGGGAGAAATATAGTACAGCACAGGGTATATATTGCTGATGTTTTGAGTCCTCGTATTTCATTTCCATTCCTCTCCACAAACTTGGCAAATGGACTATTTGTTCATTTGTATAGCATATATGAGAAAATGCGCGTTGTTCCACAACGAGTGTAAGCAGCACCTTCCTTGATGTAGGGAAGTCGAAAATCATATAGCAATAGCAACCCCAAAACACCTAGTCTCGACATTCAGTGTGACCAGTCAATGGCCTACAAGATTGCAGCATGTTTTGTGCGAACAACGGTTAACTTAATAGATAGATGTCTGTTTGTGTCGTCCTCCTTTTCGACATCTTCGCTTGAAACCGTATAAGGGATTTCAAAATATGAAATGTTTCTTAAGCCACAAGAATTCATTGTATGCATAATTGGAAGTCTCGTAACCAGCGCGTTATAGGTAGATAGGCTCAAGCCAATTCAAGGCCTGCGGTGAGACAAGTAGCCGACAACGAAGTGTAATAACGTATTTTACGTCTTCGTTCTCAATCCAATTTTCCGTACGAGCCGCTGAATTCCTGCATGTGACGATGATGCCTGCAATTGTCGCAGAATTGCGAGAGACCATGTCAGAAGTGCATCATTTCATTCTTTTCCAACGATATCAGCCGTCGCTTTCTAGTGCAACAGTGTGTAGTAGTATGTCGTTCTTTTCACGAGGATCCAGTAAGTTCTCTGGCACTTACTGACTCGAAGGACCTTTCAACGCAAGAGTAGGGATATCTTCTATGATTGGAGCTACCCTCATGGTCAACCAGTCCAGCGGGATTATATAGTGCGCCCGAAAAGCAGATTCAACATCAGAAAAGGGCGCATGGTCTAGTGGTATGATTTTCCCTTAGCATGGGAGAGGTCCAGGGTTCAATTCCCTGTGCGTCCAGTCAATCTGACTAACATCACGATTTCCCGTTTTTCTTTTTTTCTTTTTTTTTTTCCCTTTCAAAAAAAATTGTGACTAAGTCGCATGACGGCGGCTAGTATCGCGTTCAGGCCATGTGGAGACCCGCATAGTTTTGAGGATCGGTTAAGGCATACAGTTTACATACAGCCGATCCACTTTGTAGGAAACTCCACGATTGCGATATAGTCCATCTCGGCTACGCATCGCTTCTCGTTCAACCCGAAAATACTCGCCGCAGATCCTCGAACACCGTAGAAGTCGGGGCTTGCTGAGTTACGCGGGAAAGACTGCAACATAGTTTATTTCGAATTTTCCCTAGCTCTCGGACTATGTTGGTAAGCCTGGAAGGATACACGCCGGTCCCAAGTTTTTGAGGGCACTTCTCACTAAATCACACAGTACAATATGGAGGACGCAGCTTGGGAGAAAACGTGAAGATGGCCCTAGTAGTAATAATGGCGCCAAGATGTCATATAGGTACAGAGTGTGATGAGACTGGATAGAGTCTTTAGAACATCGCTATGCTTATACGCAGTTGAGCCAAGGCATACTGTATACCTAATTTAGCATTACGCAATTGACACGGAACACACAGACATAGCCTAAGGCAATAGAACCTCTAAGTAGAGCTGTATTATCCTGGAAATTTCCGCCGAGTTCGGCTTTCTTGCCCTTACCCACTGCCATCACGTTATTATTCACGTGAAAACAGGGCTGCAGGCTAATAAGACGCGGCATTCGACATCAATGAGAAGTTGTTCTGACAATCACAATAAAAAATCTTGCGGCTTCATGGGGCTTGTCTAGACAGTCAGATAAGACTCGGCTTGGCGTTTGTCTGACTCGAGAGTATGTTGGGTCGAACAGTTGCACACTCGTGATGGAAAGCAAGCGGACTTGAAAGTATTGATTCGAGTTCAACCCAGCCTCCGTCTCATATTCCAGTAAATTTGTTCAGATAGAATGTCGAACAGTTTGACTAAGCGGGCGTTGGCGATTGCGCGACTGGTCACCGTCGGGAAGTACCTTACCGACATGGCGCATGTGCCGGTGTCGCCGGAAAAGTCGTGGAGAGATAACAAGTCGAGGAAGAGGTACGGATGTAGGTAATCATCGAATGCAGCTCTTATCAATGGTCGGCAAGGAACGCGGGCGAAGGTCTCAGGTGGGCAACGGAGGGCATCGAAGCACAATGAAGCTGCGAGGACCCCCATGCAGAGCCCCCCATGCGGGCCAACGTTCGCTCCACTCAAGCACACCCAGAGCACACCTATTCGTCTACAGACGGACGACAAAGTCAGAGCTCTGCCACCCGCTCGAGAAATCACGCCTCCAATTTCGGGTCAGCTGCTTGGCTTCCTGCTGCTAGCCCGTCATCTTCCTACACACGCGTCCTAAACCACGCCTGAGCCTCGCCAGTCACGCTCTTCCCGCCTCACCTCGTGCCTCGTGTCGCTCAGCCTGACCTTTGTTCTTGTCCTTGTGTCGATCCAGCACATTGACTAGCCCGCTTTGCGACTTGCAGTCTTCAGGCAGAAACAGCCAGTCAGCCACCCTAATGCCCGTTGGAGATATCGAGATTTTGCTTCTCTAACAACAGATATCTTACCACCTACCTGTACTACCATCGAACCCTTTCATCATTAATCTCTTCGGTCAAATGGCTCAGTAACTAGCATCAATCTGCATCCGATACAATGACGACCCCAAATCGTGAAAGCAGTCGGACGCCCTTGGCCGGCGCTGCTGCCACCTCAGCTCCCATGCTCTCCTCCTCGCCGGGCTCCTTTCGAAGCCGCAACTTTGGCACCTCCGTCCCACGAGCTGATGCCACCGCTCGCCTCGCCTCTCCCATCCCGTCCCAAGCCTTGGGCACGTCGCCGTCTCACCGATCATATTCGCCCAGTCGAGCCGAGACAACTACTTCCAACTCGGAAACCTCTGCACTTCTTCCCGGCAGCTCTGGCGGAGCTGGTACGGGCCCGGGTGTCTCTGCCCTCGCTGCCGCCCTGTCCAACTCCACAGGCCAGTCTCCCCCGCGATTCGGCACTCCGCCTGCCAGGCCATTGTCGCCCGCAGCTGCTGGGTCTATCCAACAGATGTCAGCCACACCAACAAACTACGGCTCGTTCGATGCAAGATCGAGGTTTCTCCAGAACGGTGGGAACGGAGCTTATGAGGATCCCGAAATCGTCAGGCGTCACCTCGTACAGGCTTCTGATACCCCGGATCTGCCCGAGGACACGGAAATAGCAGACAAAAGCAAGGGGAAACAGGCTGCCGAGATACCAGAACCTCCACAAGAAGACGATGAGTTTTCGAGTCTGAGGCTTCAAGGTGGAGACGTCACGCGACAGATCTACAGGTGGTCCGAGGAGGCAGAAGGTCGCAACCGGCCCCAACGCAGCAAGAGCTTCAGTCATCCGCGGGAGGAGCCTGAAAATGAAGTCCTTGACATCAACACCATCAAGGTTCCTGGCGGGTTCAGAAGAAACTACCTTCGAAGAGCTGCCCAAAGCCCCTCAGCGAACCCGCGGAGCTTGGAAGATGGTCACACTGCTTCTAAAAGAGGAAATGAGCCCCAACTCTTCACCAGCAGCTTCTTAGAGTTCCTCACGATTTACGGCCACTTTGCGGGTGAAGAGCTCGAGGAGGACGATGAGGTTTTGGGTCCTGGCGAATACTTCTCGTCCGGAGAAGAGTCAGATTTCTACGACTCAGAGGACGAAAGAGAGCCGATGGAAGACAGCACGCTTCTGACGCCCTCGAGACGGAGGAGAAGGAGAAAAGCTCGAGGTGGCAGCGGCAACAATAGCCCCATGAACGCAGCTTTGCTTCTTTTGAAATCATTCGTAGGCACAGGCGTCTTATTCTTGCCCCGAGCGTACTTGAACGGTGGGATGGTCTTCAGTAACGTCATTCTTGTGTGCTTAGCATCACTAAGTTACTACTGCTTCATTCTACTCATCACCACGAGGCTAAAGGTCGAAGGCTCGTTCGGTGACATTGGTGGGATCATCTACGGCGATTGGATGCGCAAGCTTATTCTTGGATCTATTGTGCTCAGCCAGATAGGATTTGTTGCTGCTTACACCGTCTTCACTGCCGAAAACTTGCAAGCTTTCGTACTCGCAGTTTCGGACTGTAATACGCACATCCAAATCACCTGGCTCATTCTCATCCAGATGGTCATATTTTTGCCTTTCTCGCTCTTCCGCGACATCGGCAAACTTGGTTTTACTGCTTTGATCGCTGACGCATTCATCGTCGTTGGCTTGGCATATCTGTTCTACTATGATGTCTTCACCCTTAGCACCAAAGGGTTGGGAGATATCATTCTGTTCAACAAGAACGACTGGACACTTTTCATTGGAACGGCCATCTTCACTTTCGAAGGCATTGGTCTCATTATCCCCATCCAAGAATCTATGAAACACCCGGCTCAGTTTCCCAAGGTCATGTTCTATTCAATGATCATTATGTCGGTGATCTTCATTACGATGGGCGCCGTCTCGTACGCTGCTTATGGCTCCAAAACCGAGACTGTCGTTCTACTCAATTTACCACAGGACAACAAATTTGTCAATGGAGTGCAGCTGCTCTATTCGCTCGCCATTTTGCTATCGACTCCCTTACAAATATTCCCAGCCATCAAGATCACCGAGAACGCTCTCTTCACTAAGAGCGGGAAGTATAATCCGTACATCAAGTGGCAGAAGAATATGTTCCGCTTCTTCATGGTATTCCTGTGCACGCTTATCGCTTGGGGCGGTTCGGATAACCTGGACAAGTTCGTGGCACTCGTTGGAAACTTCGCCTGTATCCCCTTGACCTTCATCTATCCTGTAAGCATACCCACTCTCACACATCATCAATAACTAACAAAGTAAACAGCCGTTACTACACTACAAGGCCGTGGCTAGAACGAGAAGTCGCAAACTCTCTGATATCTTCCTCTGCATCTTCGGCTTCATTGCAATGGGCTACACAACCACGCTGACTGCGATCTCATGGATCTCTGGTCCGTCTAAGCCGCCACCAGGATACTGCGATACCAGACACCTTTGAAGAAGCCCCTCAAATAGACATCCACCTATTGTTTTCTAGCATTGTACAATCATGGCATGGTCTCGCATAAGACTGCCTCATATAAGATACTGTTGCATAAGTACATACCCATAGCATGAGCATTCGGTGAAAGATGAGCGATTTTCTATAGACTGTGGAGTGTTTCTGGATCACTGCTGTTCTCAAATACAAGCTCCTGAAAACTCTATCCAGTCACAACCGCCTCTCCAACTGACGCATCGGCGTCATTATTAGTGCTGTGGCCACACTCCATGTTCCCTGCAGCCTGTATACTCAATCTGATCGTGTGTCTGTAGTCCGTACCGCCGCTGCTCCAAATGACACATCTGTGTCACTATCACTACTGTGGGCACACTTCGTTGTTCTTTCACCACCCTGCATCTCTCAATCTGACATGTTTCCGTAGTTCGTATCGCCGCCGCGGTCCAAGTCGACATTCTCGGTCTCTAGAATATGAGTCCACCCATGTCGATATCCATGTCGAGATCCATAGCATCATTCATAGTATGGCCATCGTCGTCCTCGGCGGCACGGCTCTGAGCCTCCATTTCCCGCATGAGCTTTCCCTCACCCTCCTGTGCATCCTGCATGTCCATAGCATCGTCTATCTGCTCGGCGAGCCCTTTGTGACCGTAGCGGGGGTTGCGGGGTCCGAGGCCGAAGAACCAGCCTACTGGTATCTCCATGTCGCGTGGCATTTTCTCGTTCCGCTCGATCTCGGCGACATAAGAGTCAGTATAGACGTAGGGATAGGCGACTTCAGTATCGTTGTCGATGACAGTCTCCTCGATGTAGTTCGATTCGTCTCCGATTTGATTCGCTCTCGTCAAGCCAAAATACTTGTTGTGCAGCTGTCGGAGTCTCGACAGTCGGTCTTCTACTCCCTCATT